AAAATTCACTATCTCTCAATTCCTTCATCTCATTACCGTACATCGATTGCCTTTTCCACTCATGGAAAAAACTTTTTTCATCCGTTGGTCTGAAACTAGTGTGTTCGACTGGACACACTCTCACAGACTTATACACTAATTTAAAAACTCCTACCCCTATTTCCCGCACGTCAAACGTTGTATATGTCATTGATTGTAATGATTGTTCAAGTTGTTATATTGGAGAAACTTCACAATTTCTCTCAAAAAGAATGCGCCAACACGAACTTAACAGTCTTAACAGGAAACAAAATAAAACCATGATCACCGAACATGTCTCCAACTTTAAACATTCTTTTAATTTCACCAATCCAAGAATTATTCATCGAGAAGCCAACACTTTACGCAGGAAGTTTGCTGAGAGTATTTTTATACAAATATTACCTACTATTAACAAACGTTTTGATTCGGCTTCTCTTTGCAATATTTACCGCGATGCTTCGAACAATTTTTTCAATATGCGCAATACTTCCTAACAATTCTTTTATGTTATATATATATATATGTATGTATGCGTATATTTGTGTATGTGTATATGTACATATGTACATGTTTTTGCTTGTGGATATACATGTATGGGCATATATGTTGCATTTGTGTGTATATTTGGATTTTACATATATGTTGTAATTGCATGTGTGCATGTTGTTGTTTATGTTAGTTATGTTTTGTGTATGTGTATGCATATGTACAATTTTTGTGTTGCGTATATATACATATATATGTTGTGTTATAATTGTTTATATAATAACTTGTTTTTTAACTTTTATCGTTTTCAGTTAATATCTATACTTTTTCTTAATACAATTCTCTATTCACATATTTTTACATTGTGCTATCTTGGTTTTATTATGTTTCTATATTTTTATTTTGATCCACATATTTCATTTTGATCCAGCTTTGTTCAACCGTCTGATTATGGATGACTTACACATTTAAAATTTTTTTCTATGTTCCTTGCGCATGATCGCTGGAAAATTCTTCATAACTGTAACCTCTAAAGTTCTCTCTATCCCATTCTCTCATCCAATGACGATACAGTTTCCACTATTTTCCGCTGCAAACACGTAGGCCTACATTTTACTTTCGTTTACACACACGTAACTCTGTCTCCAAACTAACAAGATGTGCTTTTGGAATAAGCTTTTTTATAATAAAACATATTAATTATTTTAATTTTTACAATTTTCAAAAATTTTCATAACTTGATGTTTTTTCAATTTATTTTCATACTTATTTTTTTCGCTTGCAATTTTGTGTTGTGCTTTGTGTTATATTTTTTTTAAATTTATTTGTATGGTGAGTCTCTTTACATTTGTTTATTTTATGTTGTTTTTCATATATACTTTTCATGTACATTGTTTCTACTTATTTTTGTCTGTAATTATGTATCTTTTATATTATTTTATATTGTTTTAATTTGTAACCCCGATATATTTATTTGTAGCACTGAAGATGGGTCAAATCTGGACCCGAAACGTATGTTCTCTTAATTAAAACATTTTGCATTAAAACTGTTTTTTAATTATTGGATGAATGCCCAAGAAACAATTTTTATCATACTATTTCACCATCTGAAGAAAAACCTCTCGCTTTATATATATATATATATATATATATATATATATATATATATATATATATATATATATTATTATATTATTATTATTATTATCATTATTATATTAGCTGGACAGACTAAAGTTGTTTAGCCATAAAAAAAATTATAGAAAATTTTTAACTGATTATGAATGTAGAAGTGAGTGGTGAAATAGGCTAACACAAATTAAATGGATGGTTCACCCACTGCAACGCATTTCTCATATAAATGCCTCTTGGGCTTATTGATAAGCATGGCAAATGCCAGTCTAATCTGAGACTGATTTTATTAGAATTGAATTGGTACATTTTGATATTCGAGGTTTTTAAATATTACTGTCGGTGCCCGATCACGCCTTGCTGTGTTATGTATGTAAATAAAAGTCTCAACAAAAATGCGATTTTGTTACATCTTGCCATCAAGATAGTAAATACCGCTCATATCATTAGTAATTGATCGTTGAGCTGTATTAGATCCATATGGATCTTCTAGAAGATATCTTCTAGTGCAATATCCCATTCAGCATTGCGATATATAATAGAAGTTTATAAGCATATCAGCAGTAATAATGCTGTTAAAACCAAATATACACAGTTTCACAGCACATAACATATATCAAACAACCAACTATGAAAATATGATATCAAACAACCAAGAATAGAAATATGTTTTTTTCTTTCTTTATCATCTTTCCTCTTTTATCCCATAGGAGACAAACATGCCTTATGTCTCTTTTTAAATTATGTGGTACTTTCCAAAATTATTATTATTATTATTATTATTATTCATACCTTTGCCAGGGTGAAGGTTCAGTCGGTCCTTTTTACCCCAAACACATTTTACACAAGTTACATAAAAACCTGTTGAATCTAAAGTAAAACTAACAATGCTTATTATTAAATAAAGAAAGTAAATTAAAGTGGCCCTTTGTACTCTCGGATCTTCAACTCCCGCTCCATCCTATCATTTTACTGCTAAACTCGTTCTAATGCCGTATTGATACAAAAATTTCATGACTGAAAATGGCCAAATCCGTTCAGCCGTTTTAGAGTTTTAGCATACCTAACATTATGTCCATTTTTATATATAAGATTAGGCTCCTCGAGTAGAAATGGATCTCGGTTAAATATTGTCACAATATTCTAAGACTAAGACATTATCAAATTATCGACTCTGTCTGATCTAGTACTTTTTTATAATATCTTAGTATCATTTTATAATATTCAAACAGCAATGAACAAAATTGTCTACAAAATAGTATTGATTAAATGATTGATTTAATGTAATATTTAATGTTAAATTGAGATCTTAAATAAAGATCGTAACTAGAGTAGCATTTTTGCCAATGTAAAACGGTTATATATTATTCGACACTTTCATAAGCACATGATGTTTGCCAAATTTAACACGATGCTTCATACTTTTTCCAATAAGTTAGTTAGTCAGATAGCATGCTTCAGATAACTACTCTATTCAAATATTTGATGGTGGAACTTTCTGATTCAGTAGTTATTTTTACTTTGTAAAATTTCTTGTGGTTGTAGCATCTTCAAAAAGTTGCACAAAGTGTGAGGTGCGAGTCTAGATATTTTTATGTTAAATGTTTCTGAGTTAAACCAGCGTGTTAAAAAGACATCAAAGTAGTTTATCAATTATAATTTTATTTGAATTGACTTCGATTCATTGACACACGATTTAACCACTCCCGTTCGCTCTATTTAATATGTACGACGTTAACTCGTAATTATCATTTATTCTCATAGGCGCCAATAAACGTCCGCTGACATTTATTTGCAGTTTTAAATAATCTGTATTCATTAGTCTAGATAGCAAACACGTGCTCAACTTAACATGTGAGTTAACAATTTTGTTATTATTTATTTACGCGTATATAGTTAGCAGACGATGTCCCCGCAGACAATTTTCTAGTGGGCGTGGCCTATCGAGAGTGGGCGTGGCCAATATATAAAATATAATTTTTAATGAAAATTATTAAAGTTTAACAGTATATTCTAATAAATATTATTTATTTAGCTTTTTCTATGTTTGACATAACAATCCTTAACCTACAATCAAGTAGTTCATAGTACATATACCGACTTATCGATAAAAGAGGAGTACCAACAGGCATATTCCGCCGCGTAAAAAAGTGACTGAGGTTATGTTGAAGTGCAAATATCAGTGAAATCAGTACAAATATTCATTAATTATTATATTGAAAAGTTTAAAAATTCAATTAGAAGTGCCCCCAAAGAATACTCATTATGCTATCGTAGTGAAAATTGTGTTTTTCTTTGTCAAAAATAACCCGCCTAAAACATCTAGTTGGATTCCAGTGTCTGCGGAGAGTTCTTAGTGCACATTTCTTACATTTGTTTTATTAATAATTAAATTAGTGATGAATATAAATCAATAAATTTGAATAGAAGTAATAATGTTGTGTTTGTGTTTGTTTGAAATCGTTTTCAGTACACTATCATTGTCATTCGATCATGTTCGAGGTTATGTGGGAATATTTCGATTAGCCATTGATATAGTTAATAATTATTATATTGAAAAGTTTAAAAATTTAATTAGAAGTGCCCCCAAAGAATACTCATTATGCTATCGTAGTGAAAATTGTGTTTTCTTTGTCAAAAATAACCCGCCTAAAACATCTAGTTGGATTCCAGTGTCTGCGGAGAGTTCTTAGTGCACATTTCTTACATTTGTTTTATTAATAATTAAATAGTGATGAATATAAATCAATAAATTTGAATAGAAGTAGTAATAATGTTGTGTTTTGTGTTGTTTGAAATCGTTTCAGTACACTATCATTGTCATTCGATCATGTCATGTTCGAGGTTATGTGGGAATATTTCGATTAGCCATTGATATAGTTAATTAATTATTATATTGAAAGTTTAAAAATTTAATTAGAAGTGCCCCCAAAGAATACTCATTATGCTATCGTAGTGAAAATTGTGTTTTTCTTTGTCAAAAATAACCCGCCTAAAACATCTAGTTGGATTCCAGTGTCTGCGGAGAGTTCTTAGTGCACATTTCTTACATTTGTTTATTAATAATTAAATTAGTGATGAATATAAATCAATAAATTTGAATAGAAAGTGTAGGCGTATGGCAACGTCGCCGTCGTAAGGGTCGTGCCGGATGGCGCGTATGGATTGCTCAACAGGCAGTCGGTCCCGGGTTCTGGTCGCGATAAGTTATCTATGTACATAAACTGCTAATAAACTATTATTATAAATTATCATACACATTTCATTGGTAGTATACCAAAGTGGTGACCCCGACGTGATTTAGTGTGTGTGTGTAATTTTAAATGAATTCTCGTGCGAAAAAGTTAAGTGCAGTGGAAAACATGAGTACGCCAGTAGTAGTAGTGCCCCGCGATAACGTAAATTTGCCACATTTTTACGAGCAGGACCCAGAGTTGTGGTTTGCTTTAGCGGAAAGTGTGTTTGTGCACGCTAATGTGAATGAAAGTTCAAAATTTCATACGGTCGTTAGTAAGTTGGACCCGCGGTATGCGTCAGAAGTTCGCAATATAATTCTGAAACCCCCTAAAGATAATCCATATAGTGCGTTGAAAAAGGAATTGTTGAAACGGTATGGCATTTCCGATGAAACAAAGCTACGCCAGTTGTTGGAAGGTCAGGAAATGGGTGATAGAACTCCATCACAGTTTTTACGGCACCTACGCTCATTAGCGGGTTCAGCTGTTTCAAAAGAAATGCTGAACCTAATGTGGTCGTCGCGATTGCCTACGCATGTGCAAGCATTAATATCTATACGGGAAAACAGTGACATAGATTCGAATGCGAAAGCCGCCGACACAGAATTATGGAATTAGAGACAGCATCGGGTTTGCAAAACAATGGCGATTGCAAGCACATCAGCGCACGACGATTTTACGGCAACCTCGCGTCAGAATTGCGGAACATGCGAGCCGAGATTTCTGACTTGAGAAAACAGGTAGAGGATCGACGAGACGGTTCATCCCTTGCGCCGTAAGCGCAGATCGCGTACGCCCGCAAGTACTCGGTCAGGTTCGGAAGAGCGCGTACGAACGCTTTGCGAATATCATCGACGGTTCGGTCGGAATGCAATGAGATGTCGATCGCCGTGCGACATGCGTTCGGAAAACTCCGTGGGCCATCGTTATTAGCGGCAAACGATTTACGCCCAGAGAGACAGATAAGCCCGCCGTGTTTGCTAAGTGACAGAAAGAGTCAGGTGTCGTACCTGATTGATACGGGGTCGGACGTTTCAGCGTTTCCGCGCTCATTATTATGCAATCCAAATAGGAAGAGGATTGCATACCAGCTAGCCGCCGCAAATAATACGACTATTGCAACCTATGGTACGGTGGCAATGGTGGTTGATCTTGGGCTACGTCGCGACCTGTCATGGAACTTCATTATAGCAGACGTTACGCAACCAATAATTGGTGTAGATTTTCTCGCTTACTACGGTTTAATTGTGGATGTGAAAAATCGTCAAATAACGGATGCTATGACAGGATTAACGGCGCAGGCGGATATTGCAGCGGGATCAATAGCGACTATAAAGGTGGTAACTGGTTCAACAGCGTACCATAAGTTGCTTGAAAAGTTTCCTGGTTTAACACGACCAGACGGCGCTGTTAGGTACGCAAGCACGCGACGCAACACCATATAGAAACCAGTCCTGGACCGCCGGTGGTTCAAAAACCTCGGAGATTAGCTCCGGACAGACTCATTGCTGCTAGAAAGGAGTTTGAAGCTATGCTGATGAATTAGGAACGGCTCGACCATCGAAAAGTTGTTGGGCAGCCCCGCTACATATGGTTCCAAAAGGATGTGATGAGTGGCGTCCATGTGGCGATTATAGAGGGTTTGAATGCGCGAACGAAGCCTGACAAATATCCAGTACGCCATATTCATGATTTCGCCCAAGCCTTAGACGGAAAAAACTATATTCTCGACTATAGACTTGGTGAAAGCGTTTAACCAAATTCCGGTGGCGGAAGAAGATATTGCAAAAACCGCTATTACAACACCGTTTGGACTATATGAGTTTCCGTACATGACGTTTGGATTGCGCAACGCCGCGCAAACATTCCAGAGATTTATCGATGAGGTGTTGCAAGGGTTAGATTTTTGTTACGCCTACATCGATGACATTCTTGTAGCTTCGTCGTCCGAGGAAGAACATATGGCGCACCTAGAGACACTGTTGGTAAACTTCTGGAATTTGAGAGTGGTAATAAACCCATCTAAATGTGTGTTCGGCCAAACAAGTGTGAAGTTTTTGGGATATGAGGTGTCGGCTGAGGGTACTCGCCCTTGCCAGAGAAGGTTGAAGCTATTAGGACATTCACAAAGCCAGCAACAACGCAAGAGCTGAGGCGGTTTTTGGGCATGCTAAACTTTATAGAAGGTTCATACCAAATGCCGCTCAAATCAAGCACCGTTGAATGAGTTTCTGCGTGGAGATCCGAAGAGCAAAACCCCGGTAGAGTGGACAGCGCATACGTCAGCTGCTTTTGAAGCGTGTAAGGAGAGTCTGGCTCAAGCAGCACTACTATCCCACCCACACGCAAATGCTCATTTAGCTATTTTCTGCGACGCTTCAGAACATTCCATTGGAGCCTCATTGCAGCAGCAGGTCGCTAACAGCTGGCAACCCTTGGCATTCTTTTCGCGAAAACTGAGCACAAACGGAACGGAAATACGCGACTTACGATCGTGAACTACTTGCAGTGTATGAAGCGGTGAAATACTTTTCGTCACATGGTTGAGGCAAGAACTTTTACAATTTTTACTGACCATAAACCAATAGTGTTCGCATTTGTCAAGAAGATAGTCAGTGTTCGCCTCGTCAATTCCGATATTTAGACTTTATCGCCCAATTTTCGACCGATGTACGTCATATGTCGGGAGAGAAAAATGTTGTCGCCGACGCATTATCGCGGGTGGAGTCTTTAAGAAGTGCCGAAATAGATAGAAGTGTTATTAGCAGCGGAGCAGAGAATAGATGAAGAAATAGCTAAGTTGCGCACCGAAAACAACACGTCGCTCAAACTGAAACTTATTCGATTTGAGGACCAAGACGTGTCAGTCTTGTGCGACATTTCTACGCGAACAGCTAGACCGTATGTTCCAACAAAGTTACGGCGGGCGGTGTTTGATAGCTTACACGGATTGTCACACCCCGGTATGAATGCTACGATCAAGCTAGTTACACAAAGATATGTGTGGCCGTACATCAAACGGGATTGCCGCGAGTGGGCTCGATGTTTGCTTCGCATGTCAGCGTGCAAAAGTCAGTAGGCACGTGCAGGCCCCAACTGGACAATTTGAACTTCCATCGGGTAGATTTGAGCACGTGCATATCGATATATTGTAAGCCATTGTCAGAAGGATATCGGTATTGCCTTACATGCGTCGACAGATTTTCGAGATGGCCGGAAGCAATTCCAATCAGAGACCAAGAAGCCTCCACCTCCACCGTGCGCGAGCCTTCTATTCTAATTGGATTGCAAGATTTGGTATACCGCTGCGGCTGACGTCGGACCAAGAAGCAGTTCGAGTCACGAATATTCAGTGAATTAAATCAGCTGCTTGGCACGAGTCATTACAAGACTACGGCATACCATCCCGAAGCCAATGGGATGGTTGAAAGATTCCACCGCCAGCTCAAAGCAGCTATCAGATGCCATAGCAGTGAAAGATGGACAGAAATATTACCGACGGTTATGTAGGAATTCGTGCAGCATGGAAAGAGGATCTGCAAGCTACTGTTGCGGAAATGGTATATGGCGAAGCCTTGCGATTGCCTGGACCAATGCTACACGTAAACACCGACGAGTATTACGGCGAGAGAAACTTTGTAAATAACCTGCGGACCACATGCAAAATAATATGCCCCATCAACGGAACGCGACATGGCCAGAAGAGAACATTTGTGTTCAAAGATTTAGCGACTGCGGAGAGCGTTTTCGTTCGCGAAACGACGGCCCAAAGAGACTCTGCAGAATCCATATGAAGGTCCCTTTGAGGTAAAGTCCAGATCAGCAAAGTCTTTTGTGGTATGTATGCGTGGCAAAGATGTCACCATATCTATCGACCGTTTGAAGCCAGCATACACACTAGCACCAGAAGAAAATGCTGAATCCGTTCCGTCGCAGTCTAATGAGATTCCGCAAACAATCCAGCGAGAATCTGACAACAACAGCAGATCTCAGCCGTTGAGCCCGACAGAGCCTGAGCCAGTTGCACAACCAACTCTTCAACAAGACGAGACGCCGAGTTCGGTTTTCCGGATTTTTGGCAGGCGGATTTTCGTGAACTTCGTCACTAGAGGGGGAGTACTGTAGGCGTATGGCAACGTCGCCGTCGTAAGGGTCGTGCCGGATGGCGCGTATGGATTGCTCAACAGGCAGTCGGTCCCGGGTTCTGGTCGCGATAAGTTATCTATGTACATAAACTGCTAATAAACTATTATTATAAATTATCATACGCATTTCATTGGTAGTATACCAAAATGT